TTTCTTGTCCAGCAACTCCATCCAGACCCAGCTCATCTGCAGCGGACGACCCTTCCACTGAACAAGATAGCAGCGGTGCGGAGATTTCCCTTCGCCGTCAAGCAAGCGTGTAATTCCAGTCGAGTTCGCATAATCCCAGGAGCATCCGGATTATAGTGGTTGCGATGGCTCGTAGTTGGATGTCTCTCCGGAGCTTCCGGAAGCGGAAAGGGATGCCAGTCCGACGTCTCATCGCCACGACGAAGCCGAGCGCGCTTCGTCCTTTGGGTGTCCTCCTCATCTTCGTCGTTAAACAATCCCACCTCTTGAAGAGGAGCATCCTCAGCTGTAACGCTATCATCACCAGCATTAGTGCTTCGAAGTGATATTAAAGCTATTTAACATTCTGTTCACTACTACTTGTATTATTAATAATACATGTAGTACTTAAAAAAGCAGATTTGCTGAAATTGAAACATTGAGGTGTGATTTGTCGAAAGTATCCGTGCTGCCACAATTCCTGGACACACAATTGCGGGACAGTTTGTTAATATAGGAATGAGTAAACTACACCATAAAAATGCCCAGCATATATGTATGGCAATATCGCACTGATAGAACGCAGCTACCTAAATGATAAATTTGTGGCAGAGGGTTTTGCTGTGCTCGCACCTGGCACGCGAAATCTGCATTCTGGCTGCAACATTATTAAAATGAGTTTGATCATACTAACAGTAGATGAGCACCACGCGGCCACCACACGTACGCAGTGATCTGCGGCATTGGAATTCGTTACAAAATGGCTACATATTCAGGTATTACCTGTACAGTACAGAAAAATCCTCAAGGGCAAGTACACTGTACTTGCCCTTGAGGATTTTTCTTCAAGTGTATGCTGATCACCGCGATCCAGCTGTTGGCTGTGCAATGGTTTCAGAGCATTGCTTTACATATGAATCTCCGGCAGGCTGAGATCAGCCCTGATCACTGATTACAGAACATATGTTCTTCCGTTACAAAAACTAAGTCTTCTATTGGGTATCTTCAGTCACGCGATTTCTCAAAGGACACTCTGTTTGAAACGATGAAAACTTGAAAATAGCTGGATAGAGCCACAAACACATGAAATTGGTGCTCTTTGCCCCGATATGTGGACTAGGTTTATTAGAAAAAACCAATTTACATCATTTACAAATCGTCAGATAAAATGAAAAATATATACAAGCACCAAGTGAAGTGGATACTTCCAGTGTCCCGAAATAGTGTTCGAATGAAAAGCAGTTTTTTAATCTAGCTGTCTGTGCGAGAAGGACAGCAAAAAAACCGATGTGGACAAACTGCATGGGCTTTATATTTGCTAAATATGCTTCAGCTGCGTCAATAGCAAACCTAGAACCTATTTTGGGGGACTCCTAAAAAAGTGTCCCATATCTGTGGCAGCACGGATAACTTCTGTTTTGGTAGCACATGAACCAGATCAAAATTATTAAATACCGATATTTCGAAAGTGTCAACAAATGTATTATGTATACCAGACACAAGAAGATACCCAACGTTATCTACTTCTTCTGGTGGTTCACGAAGCGCAATGCCACAAGTGCCAAGACGCGTGTAAACACGACGATGCCCAGCACAATACCAAAATTCTTCCAGATCTCGCTGTGTTTCATGAGGAATACATCCTCCAAATAGGCCTTGACCGTCAGGTCCGAAGACAAGGTCGGGGGCACTCCCGTCATGACCTGGCAACCAATCTCCGAGCCGCCCTCATCGGGGCAGTCACCGAACGCAATAGCCGCCACCAGAGCCAACGAGTATTTCTGGGGAGAAGCTTGGTACAGCCACTCGTAACCACCAGGAATCTGGCTTCCAGGTGGGTTGAAGCCGTTGAACAGGAAGAAAATGGACGCGAGAAGAATACCGAACACTTGTGCGACCTCCACCGTTGGCATCAGGTACGACATGAGCTGTCCGAAGTAAGCTTGCCACAACACGTGCAGTGATAAGTGGACCCAGTAGGCCAGGAAGGGCATGACACCAGTGAAGCCCACCATCGGGTAGTACGGAGCCATGAAGAGTAGAGTGCTAAAGCAGACGTATGGGATCTCCACCACCGTCGAACCCACGAAGTACCACAATGCGTTGTATGTTTGAGAAGCGCGTTCGCGGTAAAAGGCCAAACGGTCCTCCGAAGCGATAGGCATGACACTGGTGAACGCGATGAAGCCCATAAAACCAGTCGTGCAGAAGAGCATTCCCATACCCGAATTGATACCGGCGTACGAAGTGTACTCCGCGCTGACGTAGGTGACACCGAACAGGAGGCCAAGCACAAACGCCAAGAAGAAGCGAGTCAGGTTATAGGACGCCGTGCGCCAGTACATGCGGAAGAAACGCTGGAGAAGGAATCTGGCTTGCGTCATCTCCGTTGCAGCACGCTTGTCACTGTACGTCAGCTCAGGGAAATCCGGCGACGGCCGAGTCACACCGTCACGATCCAGGTTCGACTGTAAGAAATCATAGTGTTTGCTGGCTTGGAAGACCTTGACGAAGTCCGTCTTGTCGCCATTGCTGTTGCCCACGCCGGCACCGATCACCTCCAACATCCACGTCGCAGGGTTGTAGTTTTCCTCTAGTCGCGTCACACCATTGATTGACTCAAAGTACGCAATCATCTCACACGCGTTCTTGCCAAGTTCACCGGCAAACACCGTCTCGCCACCACGCTTCAGTAGTAGGAGACTGTCGAACACACTAAACACCTCCGTCGACGGCTGGTGGATCGTGCACAGCACGGTACGACCCGTGTTCGCCACCTTCCGGACGCCGTCCATGATGAGCTTAGCAGAGCGAGCGTCCAGTCCACTCGTCGGCTCGTCCAGGAACAACACACTCGGTTGAGCTGCCAGCTCCACGCCAATAGTCAATCGCTTCATCTGCTCCACGGAGCTGCCACGGATGATCTGGTCGGCGATCGGGTGCAAGTCCAGCAATTCCAAACACTCGTTCACCGAGTCATACTTGAAGCTGTCGGGCACATCGGCTCCCTGACGCAGGAAGGCACTGAACGTCAGCGCTTCACGAATGGTAGCCGACTCAGAGTGGATGTCCATCTGCTCGCAGTAGCCCGTCGATCGACGGATAGCTAGATCAGTAGCAGGGTAGCCATTCAGCAGAATCTGACCGGCAATCTTGCCTCCTGTCTTACGTCCGGCGATGACGTCCATAAGCGTTGTCTTACCGGCACCCGACGAGCCCATAAGTGCCGTGATGGTGCCAGGTAGAGCATATCCACTGATACCCTTGAGCAGGTCGATGGTTTCCTTGGGGTTAGCCGGGTCTGGAACGCTGTACCACAGATCCTTGAATGCAACAGTGACCGGAACAAAGTGCTTTTCACGCGCAGGAAGTACAGACACCACAGTCTCGTCATCAGTAGGCGATCCTCGAGGCGTACGCATCAAAGCGTACTCATCCGACGCTGTGTTCTTGTTCTCCGAGTCGAGCGTGACATTTTCAGGACTCTCGAAGCGGTGGTACTCCAGCGCAAAGTAAGACATGAACATGAAGAGGACATACGCAGCCGCCATGAAGACAATACCGTACCAGAGCCAGAACTTCTCGGTCGGCACCTCGAACGTCGTCAATGAGTACTCGCCCATCGTCATGTTGAAGCTGGCGCAGTAGTCGACACCTTCGAACACACACACGTCGAACTTCGAGTCGGAGTACTGGTTCACAGCAAGCGCACGGACACCCCAGGACATGGGGTTGAGCCAGTACAACCAGATGAAGTAGTCCGGAATTTGGTCTTTCGTGATCGTAAAACCGGCAAACAGGACGAAAAGTAGCACGGAGACCATGGACAACGGGTTCGCGACGTTCAAGTCTGGCGAAGCGCACGACAGAAAGAAGAACCACGCGGTGAACGCCAGGTTCGTGACGAACAACATCAACTCGAACACGAGGTAAGCTTCGATAGTCGACACGTAGCCACACATCCAGTAGATGATCGAACCGAACACAGCACTCTCAATGGCAGCAACGGGGATCTGACTAACCGAGTTTGACAACACGAACGACGCCGTGCGGAAAAAGTTGGAGCGACGTTGCTTGTAGAACACTGCACGCGCTGCAATGAACGTCGGGATCTGAGCTTGTTGACCCAGCGCCACGAACATGACGGCGTTGAAGATGATACCCATGACCAGTTGAGAGTTCGTCTCGTCGAACTGGTAAAAGGTACTTGCGTACAGAAGACCCATCAAGACGACCATGACTGCTCTACCAGCCAGGAAGGCAGTGTCACGTGACAAGAGCTTTAATTGACGCTGAACGACGTCTTTAGTGCTCTCCACGAAGCCAAGATGGAACTCTGGAACAGCAGCCATGTGCTTTTCGTTATCTTCGAGCAAGTTCGAGGGGATCGGGCCGTGGAGGTCGTCCATCATACGTCCGTAGATCTGCGAACGAGTGAAGACGTCCGCATACTCACTGGCTGTCCGCGGGATACTACCAGACGGAATCGAGCTGACCTCGTACTGTGACTGCTTGTCGGTACCCAAGTCTAACAAGAAGTCAGCAACGTCACGACGAGGAGGACACTTGAAGCCCAGGTTCTCGAAGTACTTCAATGCATCAGCACGTGGACCGTGATACATCACTCGCCCTTCGTTCAGGATCACCACGTCGTCGAACAGATCGAACACCTCGGGTGACGGCTGCAGCAGCGAGATCGCAATCGTCTTACGGAGCTTCTTGGCGATACTGCACTGCGTGGTGATGATGTCGAAGGTGGCGGCACTGTCCAGACCCGTGCTGATTTCGTCCATCAAACTCACGTACTTGTTGCCAAACTCCATCTCGCCCGTCGTCACACGCTTCCGTTCTCCACCAGACACACCACGGGTCATGGCATCACCAACGATGGTGTTTTGACAGTTGTCGAGTCCGAGCTGCTGGATGACAATGTCCGGGTAGTGCTTGAACATGGCTCTGGCGGCATCCAGAGCGGCCTTGTTCTCCTCGGGTGTACCGTTGGCGAAGTGCTGTTCGTCACGAGCTGGGAGGCCGCCACCACAACAGGCATGCGCAAACTCGAGCGTCTCCTTGACACTGAGAGACGGGTAGTGCTTGTCGCGTTGGTTCACATAGGATACGAATTGAGGGAGACGGTTCCTCAATGAATCGAGCGTCATACCGTTGTACGTGACCTCACCCTCCACCGTGACGTTCTTTTGGCTTGGAAAGCGCGCACTCAAAAGCTTCATCAGGGATGACTTGCCGGACCCAGGCTGACCAAGCACAAGCGTGATGGTACCGGGCTTGAAGACACCGTTGATATCCTTAAGAACCTGCTTCTTGACGACATGTTTGCTGGAACGGATTTCGTTGTAGCTCGACTTGAGCACATTGATCAAGGTAGGGAGTTCTGTCTTGGCGTTCGACTCGTCCTTGACCATGATGTCGGCCGTGATGGAAACGTTCTTAAAACGCACCTCCATCTGCGGAAGCGCTCTACCCATCGCCTTCTCCATATGGGAGGCGACGTGGTCGTGCAGGGCTTGTGGTCCTCTGGCCATGAGCGACTTACCATTGTCGTATCCGATCACGGCGCGCATGGGCGTACCGGAATCTTCGTCGTTATGGTCAGTCATCGACCTGCTCTACGTCCTTCGAGATTTGATTGGAGGTCCGACAGAGGTTGTTTTGTTGCTGTAGTGGCCGTTCTCGCTATGAAGCAGCAAATGAAAAAGTGAGAGCGATAGAGCGAGAAAATCGAGACGCAAGTAAAGTCAAGCTCGTGTATTAGTTCCAAACGACTGCTCGTGTTTGTGGAACTAAACGAGATTTCATCAGCGAAGCCCAGTCGGATTACGAGGGTTGTGTGAGCTGTTGATGGCGCTTTGCAAATGTATATGGGTATTCTCTTAAGTACGATAAACTATATGTAGTAGCTTTAATAATATTTATAACCCGTTCAGTTTCTAAGCAGATGCACGCACATTGTACTGTAATTAATTTGACTCCTACGAGCTGACGATCATGGCTAATTCACTACCAGTATTGTATCCCACTGAACAGTAATTTGATACTGCACTTTGAAAGGTATCGATACTGTATATAATATGCGCCTCGTGCTTCTTGCGGGGTCTACCGGTAGGGTGGCTCAATAAGTCCACCAGGACGATCATTAGTGATGCC